GAGAGGAACACTATTCTGGCAATAAAAATGTCGTGGCTTTTTTAAGTCAAAAGTTATTGTCGAAAAACACTTTTCGTAAAAACAGCTATTTTTGGAGTTTTTGCCCTCTGGAGGCTAAACCGTTGATCTGAGGTCATTTTTTATGATGTTCTTATCAAAAGAACAACTCAAAAGCTATCGATTGCTTTTCCAAGCGTTTTTCTAGCTGTCATAGTTCTTGAGATAATGGCATGTTTTCTGAAAAATACAATGACAATTCGCAACTTTTGACCTTTGATGACCTCTGGTGACCCCAATATTGCTCTGAGATGAAAAATGACTGAAATACTTTCAAACGTACGAATCAAGAGCTATCGAGTGCTTTTTACCGCGTCTTTCTATCCCTCTTAGTTTTTTAGTTAAGAGGTGCGTGTTAACATATGCCCCCCCCCCCCACACTAGGGCGAAGTTGGCTGAGACCGCCACTGGGGCGCGGGTTAAAGGGCAATATTCAGATAAAACTAATTTACAGTATGATTTGACAAAAATTGCTGCTGTGAGTGCCGGCATAGAACAAGACGCCCGTAACAAAATGGTTTCGCCACTAAATCAACTCGGGCCGCACGCGTGTCGATTTTGATGCAATCTGCCTCTGAAGTCTGAAGTACCCAGGCAGGGTATTTTTTCGTGAAGAAGCAGAAAAACATGCGCGTTTAACGTTGCATCTACGAAGTGTATCGTGTTTGGAGAATGCAGATTTGTTTTCTTCGCGTATCTCTAATGAGGAAACTTCGACTGATGCCATTTCACTGTCAGCCAATTTTTACTAAATCTGCCTTTGCATCTGGAATCGTTGGTGACAGTTTAATCGGATCATAAAGTATTCTGTTTGACGCAGCGCGCAAGTACCTAAACATTGAGGCACTATACTGTCTGGAATGCTGAGGCGTCTAGACGGGCCAGTCGGGGCGCCGAACCGCCTGAAGCAGTAACAAGGCGAGAAGTATGACAGACCACAGCCGTTACCCTGCTATTCGTACCATAAATAATACTGTGTATATGCCCATTGCAGTTTTACAGCATACTTGTGCAATGCGCCTGCTAGGTCCTAGGTAAAAAAAAAAAAAACATGTTATATGGCACATTGCATGGAGTTCATGCTAAGCGGTTGAAATCGCAATTATTTGCTTTCCCTGTCATTTGATGTCGAATTTCTCGGTATTTAAATTTAGTATTTGCAGTCCAAAATTAGCCTAAAATGAATGAAAAAAAGTAAAAAAAAACATGTTATATGGCACATTGCATAGAGTTCATGCTTTCATTCATTTTAGGCTAATTTTGGATTGTTAAAGGATAGTGAGCATACGGTTATTCTTCTACGATATTCAATCATGCTGCTCATTTTAGTACTTCGCCACTTTAGTATTCGCTGTTTAAGTTATATGGGGCATTCCACGATAGATCGTACCACTTTTTTTCCAATTTGACACCCTCATCTCTCGGATTTTAACGATAATTGGTCTACGAGGTAATCAGGGGCTCTGAATCGTCCTGTAACAATTTCAGGCTTATCAGATGAGTGGTTTTTGAGTTATAGTGTATAACATGCTTTTGGATCTTGCGTTGCAGCCCCAAGTTTGGCGGGCTGTAACTCTAAGACGGATAATCCAAATGCCAAATGCTATACGGCATTGAACTTGCATTGAAACAAAAATAATATGCATTTTTAAAATTTTGAAATATATACTTTTTTGATATATAACACCTCGAGTTTCCTTTCATTTGCATTTTTCCTTTGCAATTTTTTTCTCCTTTGGAACCAATTTTTTTTTTAATTTGTATTTACTTAAAAACATTTTTGGATCATGTTTAAGTAGTACGCAAAAAATTAGGAAGGTGTTCTTTCTATAAATGTACTTTTTTGCGTCACCGTCTACAAATGGTGTGGTAAAGCTGCCTAGTGACATCACTGGTTACTGAAAGTTCAATTGAAGTCATTTTTGCCTCACTTTTGCATTGTTGACCTTGGGTGACGTCATTCGTACGTCACTAGGGTCATAAGAGTTTTTCGTCAATAACTCTCGATCAAATTGAGCTAGAGAGACGGGAAAGCTACCAATGGACTCGGGAAGACCTTGCGAATCGGATGATGTGCAATATGATCTCATTCACACAGCTTCGTGGCCTGACCCGACTGTTAACCATCTCTGTAGCGGCGCTGATTGTCCAGCGCCGCGCTGGTTGGCTTTGCCGCGGACTCGGGGCGGTCACGTGATGCCCGGGGGCTGCCGGCTGGGCCGCCCGGTCGGGGCGCGGAGCCAAATACACGGCAGTGTGCTGACCCGAGGTCAGAGACTTAAGCTGACTTTACCAGAACAAACGCCATTCGACGCGCCGGAGCTAGGCAAACACAAAGATGCTAAAATCGCGGCTCTGCGACCATTTGTTGCGAAGTTATTTATCAAAAACCGGACCCGTAATTTGGGTCACTTGAAATGACCTCAGGGGTCACCAATGAACCTGAGACCTTAAAATGTGGTATCATTCGATGCATCTTGTAACGGCGCACATGCTCGTTTTTTTCGCAAGGTTCTACCTCCATTAGAGGCGAAACGGCGAGCTGGGGTCGTACCGACCCCCCGGAAACCCATTTTGTATACATTTAAATGAGGAATTTATAGAAAGAACACCTTTCTAATTTATGTATTGAATGGTCGGTTTTGCCATGATGAAATAATTAAATATGGTGATGAAATTGACCAATAACATGGCAGTGAGATGTATTTTTACATAACAAAATAGGCCCAAAATATAGAACGAGCTTTCGTCTTACGACATCATCGGGTTCTCCCGATGATGTCGTAAGACGAAAGCTCGTTCTATATTTTCGGCCTATTTTGTTATGTAAAAATACATCTCACTGCCATGTTATTGGTCAATTTCATCACCATATTTAATCCTTTCTAATTTTTTGCATGTCGATTTTAAAGGACCTGAGGTTAATTTTGAAGAAATAAAAATGGCTAAAATTTTGGTCCCAAGGACCATTATAGACAATTTTAAAAATACTACAACTTTTTCAATATGTAAGGCTTTTCTTTCCAATTTTAAAAATACTGTATTAATCTTTGATTCATCGTTAGTTCAAAGCTGTTTACCGTTTGTTGCTTGCTTAGCTCATTTTTGAGTTATAGCTCATCAAACTCACCCTTACAATCTGAAGTTTAGAAAATATTATGCAATGTAACTCAAAAAGTTTTCATCTGAGAAGTCTGATATTTTGGCAGGTGTTTTTAGAGCCTATGATTACCCCTTGTACCAGTTTTCATTCAAATCTGAGAGATGAGGGTGACGGGCCTGGTACGATCTATCGTGGAATGCCCCATATATCAAAAAAACTTTGTTGGCTATTTTATGACTACTGTCATGTACAGTCCACAGCAGAAGTAATGTGTGGTTTCAGTCATGGGTATGTTCTGCTTCTGAAGCCTAGGAACGATTAGCCAGACTGCAACGAGACTTTAAATGTAGCTTACATGTATCTTCACCCTTGCAGCTACAACTTATTTATTGACGTCTTCTTTTCAAGCAGTCCGCATTTAAAAATTGTCGGTCAAAGCCATCCGTTGAGATTGGTAAAACCACACATTACTTTAGCGGTGGGCTGTACGTACATGGATATTTCATCAGCGAATGAGCACAATACTGTAAGAAAATGTATATCATATGACATCTTGGCATTCAGCTGACCCGAGATCATCCCCTTTTATCTTCTTGCCCCAAGAACGTGCGGGCTTTCGTGGAAGATCATAAAATATTTTCACATCCAGTAGAGCTGACAAAAAGTTGAGATAGCCAATCAATATCGAAGATGTATCTTTTCTTAAACTTTGTGGCAAGAAGTGTCACAACAGGGCGTCGGTCTCAAACTATGCGGGTGATTTCCGATTAACTATTTCAGCGATGCACTTCGCTGCATACCTCGTTTGATGAGTGGCGTGCCAGCAGATAACTTTGGCGACAAAGAATGAGCACCGAGACGTGCTACAAGTATCTCTGGGTTTTGCTGAGGCTCATATGTGCCCGAGTGTGGGCAGATACGAGAAAACTTTGGGGCGCAAGTTCCCGCAGCCATTCCGCTTGGCATATGTCGCAAATACCGAGACGTTATGAAATCATGACTTATGAGCGTCGGATACAACGCGTGACTCATAATAGCAGTGAGCTCTCCCTACCAGACACTGTCATTTTGACTGATAATGCTGACAATCGACAGCAAAGATTCAGATGAGCAGGTGAGAATTCTAAGGAGTACTGATTGGATAGAGCTGACGTAAGTCGCGATTTCATTTTTGTCATCTCTGCACATTTATAAATTGCCATCAAAATTAAGTATCAGCTTCAGATGTGCTCTTTATTTCCGCCATACACAAACCAAATCGACCATTCGTAATTTCGTTGGCCAGTCCACTTACGCAGCAAAGTGCTCAGAGCACATTAGGTATGCACAATGGTTACGCATATGCACATTTTTATACAGTTCAATTATGCATGCAGAATGGCTGGTAGAAGGCATTAGTAAAAATACGGTCGGGAAAAGAACGAAAATTTCAATAAAATGCTCAGGTAGATGCAAACTTTTTTCCCTAAAAGTGAAAGAAAGGAAGCAACATGAAAAAATGACGGAATGATTGTATAAGTATTTAACTCAAACGATAGATCGGTAGGTATAGATTGAAAAATTAGGAAGAGGAAAAACGATCCAGGAGAGAGAGAGAGAGAGAGAGAGAGAGAGAGAGAGAGAGAGAGAGAGAGAGAGAGAGAGAGAGAGCCGCAGCTCACCGTCATTTCGCCGTCGGGCATGTCGATGAAGACGAGCTCCGACTCCTCGCCGTCGAGCAGTACCGACACCGACTTCTCCCCGTACTCCTCGTCTGAAACGAAGACAGACTGGCCGTCAGAAAAACACGTCCATGGGCCAAATCTTATAAATGCTCTAACTATGATTCTAAGGGACTGGTTGAATCGTAAAAATATCGTACTTATCGTTCCAATCCATCGTAAATATTGATGATTACTACTTTCTCAGAAAATATTTCGTTAACTTAGATTCGCTTTTCCCGTAACCGGTGTTATACATAAATGCTACCAAATAGATAGGGAGATAACCGCGTTTTATAGCACTGGGACCAAGGCCGGAAACATCTCAGCCGGAGTCACAGCACGCTGCTGACCTCAGGTCGAGGTGGCCGTCAGACTGGTCGTCAGAGCAGTGAGCGCTGACTTTCCCTCACACTGGTGTATTCCTTGTCTACTTGTGTTAGATGCTGCTTTCTCGGCTTTGTACAGGACACCAGTCTCATCGTAACAGCTTCACCAGTTGAACACTCGTGCCTATTCACCTGCCTTGACGATGGAAACGAGTGACTCGACCCTCTCGGCGGCGCGCACTGCCCCTACTCCCCAGTGCCCCACCCCTAAGGATGTCATCACCTGGCTCCAACTACCGCCGTTGGATTCCGAGGGTCTCGGGCTCTGACTCCAGAGTGTGTAAACAGCGCGGCAAAGTTCGGCAGGGGATCTCGCCCAACGTCACCCTGGGGAGTCGGGCGCGGAAGCCGCACCGCACCGCCAGACACAGAACGAGGTGACTCCCGGAAACTCCGCGTGGTGGGGTCAGGCGACCTTTTCTGGTCAGAGAACAGCGCGCGGCGTGGCGGTGTGAGAAGCCCCCTCTGTCGAGCTCTTATCTCAGGCCACCGTATTATTATTGACGGTGAGAAGCGCGGTTCGCAGACGAAGGCAATTAAGAAGCTGTCATCAGCCGCTGGCGCGCCGCCGAAAGCACGGCGCCTCTAAACACCGTCCCGTCGCAGCACAATGTGAAAATCCTGGACCTTGGAGGACCTTGGGCGCTGGAGGAGAACGGAAGAGGTGAACTGATGATCTGAGTCTGACTCTGTTGAATCATATCGCTATCGATATTTGTCTTCTTTCGTTAACACTTAACAGACTCTAAGCTAGCTAATTCAGTTGATCTAATTCAGTTGGGATATTGGATAACCCCAGTTTTAGGGGTCGACTGGCGATTGGATTCTTGCGTGGGTATCACCCTCCGCGTCTGCGTGTGCACATATCAGGCGTAAAGCTCGAGGGCAGGAGCAGGATTTTGAGGATTGGGACCGCCAAGTACATATGACTGATATATGTTCCATCTTCAGCATTCAGAGCTTTTCAATCATGCGTTCAATTGAATACCTTCATATCATACCTTCAATCGATTTGAATCGACAGTGGGCAATGGAAAAGATTCGGCCCAGAGAAAGCACCGAAATTGATACCGAGATGAAATACATCTAAATGAAGTTGACAACATCCGTAACTGCGCTGGAGGTTCCATTTGGCTAATGGAGCGCATCAATGAGCACAAACGATGACCTCATGGCCAATGCCACCGCCCGCTTACCCATAGTCGTAACATTACTGCGCATTAGGAGGCACCGAGATGGGAGCCACCGTTTACAGCTTCAACCCTCGCCGGCCGAGGGCTGGGCACCGCCCCCCCCCCCCCATAGGGTTTTTCGCGATTGTTCCGGACACGCTGGCGATAGAGAGCTGAAACTTGGCATACCTGACCTTTGATTCAAGCCGGATCCTTTTGACATCAACTACATTTTCGGCTTGCAGGTCAGGTCACTGACATATGACGTCATAAGTGAACCTCTGCACGGTCTTCAGATGTCGCAGCTTCGCAACGCCCTCACTGCCAGAGGACTTTCACAGGGAAATGAAACTTTCAGGATCTAATATCCATTACGAGTCTCACAACTTGTATATCTCGGATTTTTCCCCAAAGGTCATATGAGGTCAGGTCATTTTCGTGACCTCACCATTATATGTCAATGGGGAAAAATAAAAACTGCTATTCTGGCGCCGGGAACGATCTCCATTTATTCCAAGCACACAGAATCGTGATTTGATGCACTCCTTGCAAGGTTATATGCGTCACTTTAGCAATGTTGACCATACGTGACGTCATTTATGACGTCATTAGGGTCATATTAGTTTTTCGTCAATAACTCCCAATCAAATTGAGCTAGCGAGTCAAGAAAGCCACCAATGGACTCAAAAAGACCTGCTAAATCGAATTGCGACATGACCTACTTTGACCAACTTCGTGACCTGGGGCGCTGACCTGACCGTGACCTGAGGTCACACCCTAAGTTGACCTGACCCAAACAAAAAGCATATCATTCGACGCGCCTGAGCGAGGCGAACACGATTCTGCCAAAATCGCGGCTCTGCGGCCGTTTTTTTTTTGCGAAGCTATTTACCAAAAACGGAACCGTACCTTGGGGCACTTGACCTGACCTCAGAGATCACCGATTGACCTAGGACCTTAAATTCGAGTATCAGTCTCTGCGTCTCGTAACGGCGCACAGGCTCGTTTTTTTCCGCGACGCGCTAGCTCCAGCAGGAGCGAAACGGCGAGGGGGTCCTACCCCCCTCCCTCGGCCGGCGCGTATGCAGAAAACCAATAGGTCCGGCAAGGGTTTAAACCTAAAGCTTGAAGCTGCATATCGTAGATTTTTATAAGTGGCATGATTAGACGACTTAAGCAACAGGATGATGTCCCTAACCACAAATGTGTGTTTCGTCACATTCTTCTCAGAGTTTGGCACTCCGCAGGACAACCATTGATTTAGTCTCCGCATGATATCAAATATCAATAATCTCGTAAACCTTCAAACAACTATTGACTTCCCAGCAAGGCTGACTTAGTTGGCCGTGTGGGCCAAGTCGGTTAGCTCAGCTTGGTTTGACACTCGACCCCCCCTTCCAATCCCTGTTGGGTATCAAACCACGGATAAGCCGGCCGTTTAGCCTTGGTCCGGGAGGAAGATGAGCTTCCGTCTCTGAAATCGACCCGTGTGCCGTTCTCAGGCCAGTAATGGATCGGGCCTCCGGAGGCGGTAATGGCTCGGCTCCCCTGCCCCACACGGCGCGCCTACAAGGCACGGCGCAGGCACGGACTGGCTGCCCGCCGATACTACACTACACACTATACAGAGCGTGCTTAACTCGCAAAGGTCGGAGACATGCCAGTACCTACATCATGTTTTTCGGTTTGGGCCGCCGATGATGATGTTTCTGTGGGTAGTCTTTTGTTTCTTTGATCCATGTATGCAGCAGTGCAAAAAAGACGAAGATTAGTTCAGGAATATTACTTTTCATGAGACGTTGCTACACATTTCATGTTCCAATTTTTTTTTTAACTTTCATCACTTTATGGTTTGACAGGTACCTATAAAATGATGCAAATAACAAAACTCTTGTTTTTTTCAGGTTTATGTGACTATTACAAGAACCAACAACACTTAGATAACTAAACGCTTGTAGTTGTAGCTCGACAAGGTATCGCATAGCTCATTCTCGGCAAGTTCCTGCATTGCAAGCCAATAACTTGACAACATAGCCACAACTCCCATGGCCTTGATCCTAGTCATCATACCGTCATCCAGCACAGGTAGGTGACGGCCTATCCCCCTGTGGGTGTCGCTGTCTGCGACCAAGACCCAGCCTTCACTGCCGTCCGCCCTGTGCGGCCGTCTCAGCCGACCGGCGTCTCATCCCGGCACAAACACCTGTCTGCACTCTGTATCCTGCCGCGGCCTCGGTGACCTGAGACGATCCACTAATGAGGGGCCGCCGGCGACCCACCCCCCCACTGTCACCAGAGCTGCAACACGACACCCGGAGTAATGACTGGCTGCCGGCCGTCCCGGCAGCAGGTCCTCCGGCTCGGGACTGCCTGTCATCCGGCTCCGGCTCCGGCTCCGGATTCATCTGCGGCTCCGGGGTGGCTCTGGGACGCCGGAGGTATTTGATGCTGACGGGTGTGGATGGGGAGGGGGAGGAGGATGATGAAGACAGCTGTCATTCTGTGGACTTCCCCGCTAAGAACAGAAAAGGTGCCCAACAGTGCGACCAGTGTTCGTCGGGGCCGAAATGCCATACGTTTTTTTTTTCTTTCCTTTTCTTATTCGAATAATTTGCTGAATTTTCCAGGTTAATATGGCAAACTCCCGTCAGACTGCATTCAATAGTATTGCCGTCCAGAGTATATGTAGCTATATATGTAGTTCGTCCCTTGGATTGCAAATTTAGCATTAGTTACATCCCGTATTCTATGCCCCGCTAGCAGCAGCAGCTGCAGCTGCCGCCCATTTGCCTACTGCTAGCAGTGATGAGCAGCTGCCGGCTGTCCCATCCCGCGGCGTACACCAGCTGTCCAATGACGGCTGATGGCAGCAGCTGCCGGCTGTCCCATCCCGCGCCGTACACCAGTTGTCCAATGACGGCTGATGGCAGCAGCTGCCTCCCGTCCTATCCCGCGTCGTACACCAGCTGTCCAATGACGGCTGATGGCCGCAGCTGCCTCCCGTCCTATCCCGCGCCGTACACCAGCTGCCCAATGACGGCTGATGACCGCAGCTGCCGCCCGTCCTGTGCTCTACCGTCCACCCACTACCGTATGTCAGCTCGGGTGACCGCAGCTGCCGTCACGTGCCGGCTGCCAATTAGACCGCCGGAGCGGTCAGCGAGCCACTGCTCATCACCGAGGTCCATTTCTGCCGCCGCTGCTGGGCAGCCTCCCACATGAGCAACTGAGCCTCCCACCTGAGCCTCTGAGCCGCTGAGCCGCTGAGCCGCTGAGCCACCGGCTCTGCGCGGTCATCAATGGTGAAATATGCGTGCCGGGTGCCATTCGTTACCGACGCTTTCCCATCGACAGGGCGTCGGGCAGGGCTAGGCATTTCCAGAGGACAGAGACTCCGGAACAGGAGGATGGTTGGGTTTGGAGGGGGCTATTTGGTTAACGCATCTGATTCACATACCATAGGGGTCTTATGCCCACTGCAATTCCGTTTAG